GGTCGTGTTGGAAGAGAGTTGATTGATGGAGAAACTCATCCCATTTTTCAAGTGGAAGACTTTGCATGGAGGCCCTCATTTCCATATTGGGAGCGCTGGAAGAGTCGGTTTGAAATCCTCCAAGTCTTGCTGTGACCGTGAATCCAGTCTGTTCTTTATACAGTTCTTCATTTGGACCTAGGAAGGGCACGTTTAATAGGATCTGTGCAGAGCTGCACAAAACCTGCAGAAATCGCAAAATACATCCCTGGCGAGACTCTGTTCTACTAACTCGTTTGCGTAGCTGTGAGTGCGAGAGGCCGATCCCCGGACTCTGCCTTTTTAAACCACCACGAACAACTTAAATTGTCCTGCTTCCTTGAAGGAGCAATGGTTTTCAGCTAATCAGTTGGTGAGTGTGGGAGGTGCTGTGGGCGCATGGAAGCAGGCAGATCTAGAAAGAATGACGTTTCAGGTTAAAATAAGGAATTGGCATGGAGGAATAAGGATGACCTGGGGATCTGGGGACTTTCAGAAGCGGCACAGCCTGAGGGTCAGTTTAGGAAGACAGCAATTTCTGAAAATCGGGGCTGGTGTTCGAATGGCTTCAGGTTAATTAAAATAGGGCTTGACCTATGGTCCTCCCCATCTCAGCTGGCCGGGATGGCCGGGGTCAGAAGCTCCCCAAAGTGGCCTGGCCGGTCAGTAAATAGGCCGTAAGTGCTGCTATCATTATTTCCAAGACTAAATCCGATGGCAGGCCTTCTGTGCTTCCCAAGTCAATGGTGAATTAACGGCCTCAGAATCGAAACCACTGCAAAAGGAATCCACTCATTTTGAAGTCAACAGGCCAGATGGCCACCCCACTAAGGCCCCCCTTCGGTACTGAATATCATCTCAGTTTCAAAAGTCCGGGAGCGAATTCTTCCAGAACACACATGCTTACACTTCGGGAGCTAATTTTTAAACGCAGAGAGAGAGAGAGCAAGACCAGAAAAATGCATGGAATCAATGAATAAATGCCATCCAATGATTTGTGAGCAAGGATTCATCAAATACATATTTCTAGGGGATGGGTGTGCGTCCGTTTTCACCTTTTTACGATCCTTAGCTAATTACGAGCACAGACTTCACAGGGCATCAACTTACCCAGCAAGATGGACCACGATGTTAGGGTGTTCGCACAGGTGGGGTACAAAACCCGCTCGCAAAGCATCTCAGCTTGTCATCACTGTGTCGAACCCTTGAGAAGATCAATTTGGGGAGGGAAGGATCTGTTTTGGTTCATGGTTTCAGAGCATTCAGTCCGTGGATGGCTGGTTGGAATGTTACGGTATTGGGGACCACACCTGGAACACATTGAGCCTTCGTGGGACATTCCAGATCCCAACCAGAACACAAGGTGAGTCGTCAAAGTGAAATGTGTGGGATTCGGTGAGTGGGACCCTCCACCGATGCCCGTGGATGGAGAGGGAATGGGTTTGCTGGTGTGGGTCCTGTGGACCAGTAAGAGTGCGGGAGGAATAAAAAACAAAAGTGAAGTGCAGTAAAAACCACGTAACTCTCATTATTTTTAACTAACGTCTTCCTCTTTCTCCAAAACAAAACTGTTCGAGGATGCATTCAGGGCTAGATGAAAGGGGCACATGGGTATCATTGTCTAAGACGTGAGGAGGAAAGATACAAACACAGGAAGAGTTGGGATCTTGTATGATAGAAAGATGACTATAATGCGTTTTATGTAAGCAACTGAGTTGTAGCTCATATTCTGGTTACTTGTGGATGGAAAGCATCCTGTCATTCTTTGGGTATATAGTGTGTGTATGAGTCAGGTTTTGATACTATAACAAAATACCCAAAGTCGGCTAACTTTAAAACAAAAAGAGGCTTATACAACTCATTGTTCTGGAGGCTGCAGATACAAAGGGATTGGCATGAGCCCAAGAGAAACACTTGAATCCCTTTCAAAGGCAGCAGCCCCCAAAACTCATTCGGCCCTCTCTTCTTAAAGATTCACACCACCTCCCAATTATGTCACTCTGGGGACTAAGCTCCCTCCCAACACTTGAGCCTTTGTGGGGACAAAGAGCATCCACACCACAGCAGCATGAATGAATAAATGAATGGACGAGTGAATGAATGAGTGAATAAATGAATGAATGCATGCATAGGTAAGTGAATGTAAGGATGATGAATGGAAGGCTGGATGAATGAATGAATGGATGAATGAATGCTTAGACACATACCTTAGCATTATGAATGAATGGAAGGATGAATGGATGGAAGGGTGTGCTAATGAATGGATGTGTATGAATGGATGGATACAAGAATGAATGCAAAGATGAATGAATGGACGATGGGCAAGTGGGTGGGTGAATGATTATTTAGAACAGTGTTCCCGCCAAACCACTACCAATAAATGAATAAATGGATGGATGGATGGATGGATGAATGAATGAATGGAAGGATGTATTAATGAATGGATGTGTATGAATGGGTGGATAAATGAATGAATGCATAGATGAATGAATGGATGATGGGCAAGTGGGTGGGTGAATGATTATTTAGAACAGTGTTCCCGCCAAACCACTACCAATAAATGAATAAATGGATGGATGGATGGATGAATGAATGTTGAGACAGTCCCATGAATGAATGGAAGGATGAGTTGATGAATGGATGTGTGGATGAATGGGTCAATAGATGAATGAATGGATGGATGGATGGATGAATGAATGTTGAGATAGTCCCATGACCTCACTGGTTACCAGCCACAACCAAGACTGATCTTTTCAGGGTAGACGTCTCTCAGTCTCCACGTATCTCCCCTCCGCACTTGCATTCCCTGTGTGTGTCTGGCTCTGTTATCCCTTTGAAGTTCAGCCTCCTCACTAGGGTAACAGTGAAGAGTGACCCATCCCAGCCCATTGTCCCCACATCTTAAATAGACCCCTCCAGTGCTCCTGTGCTGTCTCCAGGACTCTGAAATCACTAGTAAGAACTTTGGAGACGACCCCTTATCTGCATAATTCATAATTTAAGCATCTTTTTTTCAGTGTAGGCAAGTGGATTTTGAAGTGACCAAATTGTGGCTAAGGTTATTTGTAGAAAAAGCCCTTCTCTTATCAGTGAAAATATGGTGGATCACAAGGGACCTGCTGAAGATTTAGGAAAAGTTTTGCTCTTTCCTTCGGAATCAAGGTGATCGCACAAAATAGCCCCGACATTGAATGTGGAGGGTGGAGTCAGCCTCGTTTGCTGATTTCTTCAAACGGAAATTTAAATCTACGGTTTAATACGTGAATACTCAGGATGTGTGGCTTTCTTTTTGGCCACAGTTACACAATGACAATACCATCACCATCGTATTTTCGATCGCATATCTAATTTTTAAATATTTTAGTTCTGAAAAAAATTTTTTTGAAACAAATCATGTACGTCCTTAAGTCGTATTGAATACATCCTCCTCCAAACAGACATATTTAGTAAGTGGAAATTGCCTCGAACAGCAATTAAACTGAAGGCATACCTGAACAGATGCTTTTATCCTTTTCATTTCTGGAATGAGCTAATCGATAGATCTATAAAGCATTCTTGCACATAAATAAATAGACACTGTTTCTGTCTGCATGGATGGATTGGCGTGGACCCGACAGCATGGTGATTCGACTTCAGCCCGCGGCCTCCATGGGTGTAGAGGAAGCGCAGGGGAATTTATTCGGGGTGGGGTCTGCAGATGGTTTAAACAGGTGCACCATTCGGGGGCGGGGGGCTTGGATTGTCTTGCAGTGGGGGCTCAGGGTCTATAGCAAGGTCTCTCATGCCTGGCAAACCTCAGCAGCTGTTGGTGGGGAAGAGGGAAAGGAATGCATTCCTCGTGAAATTTATGGGCTGCCCAAGTTGGTGGCACCTGCACCTGGTTCCTCTTAGTGAAAACACATAAAAGCTGTTTCCAAGAAAGCACAGTTGAGCTCTCCGGGTCTGAAAGAGAACCGCACAGGAAGCGTAAGGAGGTCTGGGGTGTTTCACACGGGTACCCCCAAATCAGCTGACTGTATCCACACTGCCAGGAGGCAGTGGTGCCCCCAGCCGTGGGCCCATGAGACCCTCTGAGAACAAGGAAGGCGAACTAGAGTCGGGGCTACAGTTAATACATAAGGCCGGTGCAAAAGGATTCCAAATGGCCCACGTCCGGCTCTGAGTATATCCAGGAATCTCTCCTCATTCATTCAGTGGAAGGTGATTTGAAGTCATGCAATGCTGAATAAGAAGTGGCGTTCACGACATGGTTCGTGCTTACACACGGAAACGTGGTTGGGACTTAGAAATCGGTCCCCGCACGGCAAATCCTGCAGCATATTGCACGTTTAATTAACCGCATCCCCCAAGGGGCCCGACACCCAGCTACCCAGTTTCTGACTTCACTGCCGACTAACGAGAGGATGCAACTCACCCTGGTAGTTTGGAACCCAATTGCAAAACTGTAGAAGTGTTTTTTTTAATAATGGTGTTGACACATGTCAATGAGCTGGGCCCTTTTCTTACCACGTGAAACTCCAAGAGACAAAAGAATAGTCCTGAAATTCACGGACGGGTGAGTCAGGGCATGTCTAGGATCGAGTTGGTGAGTGCCCATATCTCACCAACGTGGGCCTCAGTTTCTTCATTTCAACTTGTGCCAACGGCGGTTTCTCTGGGGTGCTGTGATTCCAGGCAACCTCCGGACCCTGCAGGGCCGTGCTGGGAGCTCAGCCGTGGCCACTAGACCAGGCTCTGGCTAATGTTCACTGGAGGATTTCTGGCTTTGGATGCCATGAGGTTTTGCAAAAGCAGTCCTAGCTTGTCACTTGCTGACGCATTTATTTCCTTTTGCAGTGCTGGGGATCAAACCCAGGGCCTTGCACACGCTAGGCAAGCGCTCCACCTCTGGGCTCCAGCCGCAGCCCGCTGTTTCTTGATATTGAAAACTTGTATTTTCTGAATGAATAGTTCCCACTCTTTTCTTTGTATCTGCAAGAAACTCTGCTTTGTATTTTATTCACTTAGTGAGCACTCAAAGTCAACACGGGAGCATAACAAGGTAGCGGTGTCTGTGATACATTTTCTTGTTCTTTTTAAAAAATTCTTAAATTCTAACGACAGCAGAATGCGTCAGAATTCATATTACACATACAGCGCACTTTTTTTGTTCTTAAGTGACAGTATTTAGCAACATCTGTACCATAGAGTAGCAAATACTTTTTAAAAAAAATCTTCCAGAAGACAACTATAAAGGAGATAAATGGTTCTGTTTGTTAAAATAAGTCTGTCACACAAACTACAAACTAGATATGGTTTCAAAAACATGTGGAGAGGGGCTGGGGTTATAGCTCAGTGGCAGAGTGCTTCCCTAGCACGTGTGAGGCAGTGGGTTCGAACCTCAGCCTCACATAAAAAAAAATTTTAAAAAAGGTATGTATCCATACATAATTAAAAGAAATAATAATAAAAAAATGGGAAAGAATTCAACCTCAATTGGAAAAAAAAAAAGACTTAACATCTGGCTTTCAATTTGTTGGGTCGATTCAAGATTTTGAGAATTAGGACGCTTTGGTTCCTTAGGGGCGTGCAGTGGACATAAGTTGTGATTTGGTTCGCTTTGGGGCCACGGGCATCAAGTGGCCAAACTCTGTGTATGTCCTCTTCACTTGGCAATTGCACATCTGGGAATCTGTCTTGCCGATATTAAAAGATCTCAACGTGTCATGGATTTATTAATATCAAAAGATATTTGTCAAAGTCTTTAGTCAAACTAAGAAATAGCCCCAATTAGCAAAAGGTCCAGCCACTGGGAAATGTGCAAGTAAAGAAATACGCAGCATGTTACATTATAGTTGATAACACAAGAGGGAAAATGGATTAACAGAGCTTAATAAACACAGAGCAAGTACAAAGGAACACGACTAGTAAATATGGAATGATCAATGTGGGCGGAATGTACCAGGGGGACGGTCAGGAACTGGCTGACTCCGGCATGTCTTTCTGAATTTGCTTGCAGGTACTTCTTGATCATTTCACCACGTAATAAAATGAAATTCCCATCATGGGGTTTGAGTGTTCACGAGAGCGACAGACTCTCCAATCGTAATCTGACCCTGTGAGTCCCATTAGGCAGAGGAGCAGTGCTTCAAAAGCCAAATAACCGGAGCAGGGATGGGGAATCGCAGGGGCTGAATCTTCACCTCCTCCAGCCACACCCCACCTACCCACAGTGACCACCCAGTCAGTGCATTCAATCCAGGGTGGACGGACGAGGTCACAGCTGTCACACTCCAATCATCTCGCTCTGCTGTTGGGGGACACATCACCGCTCAACCACAACAGACCTCAAACTGAATGTCGTCACCATTTTGGAAGTCGGTCTGCAGGACAAGTGAGTAGGAACAGAGGTTAGCAATTAAATCAAACAGCGATATTTGCATTACACGTTTTAACAATGTACCCCATTACACCATCTAAATTTCCCAACTGCATGCTGACATTGCATTTTATTTACGGTATTTTCAGAGGTGGGAGAAGAGAGTTAAAGAGTTAATTAAAGAAGCCGGCGTGGTGGCGCATGCCTGTAATCCCAACAGCTTGAGAGGCTGAGGCAGGAGGATCGCAAGTTCAAAGCCAGCCTCAGCCAAAGCGAGGCCCTATGCAACTCAATGAGACCCTGTCTCTAAATAAAACACAAAATAGGGCTGGGGGTGTGACTTAAGGGTCAAGTGTCCCTGAGCTTCATCCCCAGTACCCAAGGAAAAAGAAAAAGAGTGAAGTAAAGAGTTTTTACAATTTTGTGTCCTTCATCAAAGACAAAATATTACTTATTTTTTATGGTTGCACAACAAATTTAACGAATAAGAATTCTAGAAATTAAAAGAAAAATAGCTCTTTGATGAATACTCCCTCATCCATTTACTGTCTCAAAGACAACGAATGTGTTGTACTAACACATTATTTGGCCTATGCTTGTTAAAATAATCGCACGGAATAGACATCCTTTCTGTACTAGTTACTGTTTTCACTTAAAAACACAATGAACAGTTTTCTAGGGTGATGCAGATGCTCTCCTATTTTTCACAATCTTCTTAGCATGCCTCTGTGCTGATGTGTAATTGCTTTAAGCACTTCTATTCTCTCCGTGGCCCAGGAATTCACAGAGCACGGCTTTACAAACCATGCGGCAAAGAATCATCCTGTGCGTTCATCCTGTGTGCTCGAGGTACAAATCTGTGAAAAATAGTCCTAGAATTTGTTCGGTCCTGGCCATTCAAATTTTAAACGGATCTTCTCTTGAATCACACTGTGCGTACACCAAGAGTGTGCAGAGATGTGTTTCTTCACGCTCTCTCTAACATCATATACTTCTTTGCTGACTTTTTTTCCAGTTTGACAGGTTTCAATGGTGTCCTGTGTTCGGTTGCTAAAGTTTGGATTTTACTCGATGGATGCCAGTGTGAGCATTTCTCCCATGAGCATTCTCCGTGCAGTTTATGATTCTGAGGTGGTACGTCATTTCCTTTGTTTCTTTCTTCTGCTGGTTTTGGCAGAAGAAAGACTTGGAAACTTGGGCATAACTGTGTAGTTGGATCAAAATCATGCACTTCTGATTTGGCTTATTAGGCTTGGAACCTATTAATTATACACCAATGGGATTAAAATGATGCACTTCTGATTGGCTTATTAAACTCGGAGCTTAAAGCTCTTAATTGGTCCGTGCTAGATCCCTCACCTGCCAATCACCTGTGCCAACCACCAGGTACGCCTTTTAACAAACCCCGAGACAACAGACACCCCCTGGCATCCCTCTCTCGGGAGCTCGGCTTTCTTTCTGTTACTCTGTTAGATCCCGTTACTTTGCTCCGATGCTTGAGCCCCGTGGATTTCAGTCTCCGAATTTGCAAGATGAAGAACATCCCCCGTCCACGCTCCACGGGACACTGAGACACGAGGTCTGCGTAGTGTCATTTGAAGAATGCTTTCATACCCCTGACATCGGGACAGCTGTGGCTTCCTGTGATCCTCTAATCTTGATCACGGGAAACCGTTTTTATAACACAAAATGTCCCTATGCCACCTGTCATTTCGGTGGTACCTCCTTTGACTGTCTCGGGTAAACAACCGTGAGTACCTTTTTCATGGAACAGAAAAAAATACATGTTTTTTTTTTCCCCCCTGTGGCTACCGAAGTCACAGGTTGTTAGCGTAACGTAAGGCTTTTCTGTTTAACTAGAGAACTCACGAGAAACAGTTGAGATTTGAGCTCGGAGTACTTTTTCTAAATATTAGCTATTCATTGCTCAGATGTATCTTGCCTTCCAAAGTCATATTTCTAGAATAAATGACTTTCTCGAAGTATGGAGATTACTTAGAAAACTGGGAATGGAACCACCATTTGACCCAGCTATCCTACTCCTCGGTCTATACCCAAAGGACTTAAAAACAGCAACTACAGGGACACAGCCACATCCATGTTTATAGCAGTACAATTCACAATAGCTAAACCGTGGAACCAACCTAGATGCCCTTCAGTCGATGAATGGGCACCGAAAATGTGGTATATATACACAATGGAATACTATTCAGCATTAAAAAAGAATAAAATCATGACATTTGCAGGTAAATGGATGGAGTTGGAGAATATCATGGTCAGTGAAATTAGCTAATACCAAAAAAACCAAGTGCTGAATGTTTTCCCTGATATAAGATGCTGATTCATCATGGGGGGAGGTTGTAGCATGGGTGGATGAGATGAACTCTAGATAGAGCAAAGGGGAGGGAAGGGGAAGAGAGGGGTCACGGGCGTAGGAAAGATGGTGGAATGAGATGGACATCGTTACCCTAAGTACACGTATGAAGACACGACTGGTGTGACTCTACTTTGTGTATAAGCAGAGACATGAAAAATTGTGCTCTATGTGTGTGCTATGAATCGTAATGCATTCTGTTGTCACACATAACAGATACCACCAAGAACGTCTATGTTAGCCCCTTTAAACCAATATGAATCACCACACTGTCAAGTGTAAGCCAAAATACTAGGAAAAAAAGTAAAGTCTCTGAGTATTTTTTTTTTTTTTTGGTGTGTGTGTGTGTGTGTGTCTACAGAAGGGGCAGTAGTGAGGTTGGAATATTTTTATATGTTTACTGGTTGACTTACTCTCTGTGGGAAGTTGTGTATTCATGCCTTTATCCATTATTGTTTTTTGATGGCAAAGGCTATTTGGGGGGGGTAGATAACTGTGTTAGTCAGTGTTCTGTTGTTGTAACAAAATGCCTGAGATGGTCTTGCAAACTTATAGAGAGAAAAGGTTAACTTTGGCTCATGGTTTTGAAGGTCCTAGTTCATGATCAGTTGCCACTCTGTGTTGGGTCTGCGGTGTGAGTCCATGGTAAAGCAAAACTCTTCACCTCCTGACCAGGAGAAAGAAAACAGAGAAGAGAAGGTAGTGGTTCCCCAATCCTCTTCAAGAACAAACGCCAATGACCTAAAGACCTCCCGCCAGGCCCCGCCTTTTCAAGTCTCCACCCCATCCCAATAGCGCCACCTATGGATCAAGCCCTTAACACATGGGCCTTCGGGGGACAGAGGTAGTCTGCAGCAGAAATAAACATGCTCACTGACGTGGGAACGTCCGTTTCCAGCTAAAAGCCTCACTGACCTGCAGAGAGCACATTTCCAAAGAGAATAAAGAAAATGTCAGGATTGGTCTTCACATCTTCATTTTTTATTGTCATACCGCAAAATGACAGGATATTGCAAAAAAGTCACTTTTTTATAGTTTTCGACACGTACATTTTTATGTATCTGGAAAGCGGTCCGTTGTGTGGAGTGAGGTAGGGATCCAGTTTCCGTTGTGTGGAGTGAGGTAGGGATCCAGTTTCCGTTGTGTGGAGTGAGGTAGGGATCCAGTTTCCACTGTGTGGAGTGAGGTAGGGATCCAGTTTCCATGCCTGTCTTGGTAGGCGCAAGGATTCTGCACCCACCCACCGAGTACCATCCTGGCCTTAGAGGTCCCTGTCTGTTCTTGGTTCTGTCTCTTCTCTTTAGCTTCAAGTTGATAGCATTCCATGTTCCAATGAGATCCCCCGCTACCCCTGTAATTTCTCATTTCATTATTATTATTTTTTTTGGCTGTTCTTTCACTCCAGATGAATTTTACAAGTCAACAAACGGAATTTTGGCCGAGGATGTTTTGAATTTCTGTAAATTAGTTGCGGCAGGATCAACATTTCCACAATATGGTGTCATCTCGGTAACAATTTACGCCTTCATTTTTCTGGAGCACTTTAATTTTCCTTAATTTTTCATGGTTCTCTTCACATTTTCCATTCATACACTTGTTAACTCTACTCCAGGGAATACAATGATTTTGTTTGCTTTTGGAAATGCAACTTTGTTTGCATATTTTTCTGAGTATTACTTGGGTATGAAAACCATTTTTATATGGATCTCCTTTTGAGTCCTTGTACTTTCTGAATTCCTTAAAAAATCTTCTAGAAGGATTTTGAGTGACTGGCAATTTCATGAGAGTGTTCAAGCATTTTGGGTGATAGCCAAACATTTCTACTTATTCTGATTGTACCTAAAAATATTTGTTATAATCCATGAACCCACGTTGATACTTCATCACTCCGGGATTCACAGTTTGCTTGAGGGCTCACGCTTGGTGTGGCATGTCCCCAGGAAACCATCTCCTCCAGCCACACCCTGCCTGCCTACAATTGCCATTCAATTAATCCACTCAAGTGGATTAATCCACTGATTGGGTTAAGGCTCCTATAACCCACTAATTGCACCTCGAGGCCTTCTTGCATTGTCTCACGCGTAAGATTTTGAAGGACCCTCAATATTTAAACCACACCAACAAGCCTACCTCTACGTAGAATCTTCGGCATTAGGATATCCAAGAGAACCCTTCCATCGCTTTCCAATTAGTTCTCAGTGGACGGAAACTAATCAGCGGACGGAAACTAATCAGTGAACAGTTAGCGGCCAGGCAACTGTTGAGAGGGCACAGGAGCCAACTTGAGCTTCACCAAGGTCAGCAAAGAAAGAAGACGGTATTTTACCTCTGTGTGCTTGTGACCACGCAGTAGAGTTACGTCCATGTTTCATGGTGCCCTTCTACTATCCCTTGAGAAATCAGACATTGGTGTCTACCAGCATCTGGCCACATGTTCATCAACCGCTCAATCCATGACTCTGCTTCGTGTATTTTTGTTTAAAGATGCCTTCTTATCACATATCGTAGAATCACTCACGTTGACTGCATGGCCAACACCACCGTCACTCACACCTCAACAAAGCAGATGACACACCTGTTTTCCCTGTCAGGTGCATCGCAGCCTTTGTATGCTTAGGAAGATCAGAGAG